TAGGCAACAGTAATGGTTTTAGCATTTCAAAGTGGCATGTCACATAAAGATGCTAATATATTTTACAGTGAAAAACTTAAAATATTATGAATTAAAATTTCTACTTCATAAAAATAGATCAAAAGCCTGCCTACTCATGCATGCAGGTCTTCTGCTTAGAATAATACTGTCCAGGCTTGCAAAATGAACTCATATAGACCTATAGAGCCTTGACTGCAAGTAGACCACTGTCTTCATTATTTTGATCCTATGTCTGATCCTTCTTTTACCGATGAAAAGCTGCTCCCAATATCCGGATCCCCACCCCGCTTTTACAGATGAAATCCCGCTCCCATCCCCATCCCGGGCCGCTTTTACCATACAATCTATGCTTTTACCAAGTCCCTTTCCGAGGCAGAGAAAGCTCACAATATCGCCAAATGTAGTCGGTACAAATATATCTTTTTCGTGGTGAAAGCTAAAAAGCAGCAAGACAAATGAAGCGATAGAGCAAAGCCTCATCTTTAAATAATATGTAAGAAATTGCTCCAATCGTCTTCGTTTTAAAGATATGATAGCCCAAGCTTTCATACCTCAAGTTGTGAGTTTAGACGAGGCTTTCTTCTCCCGAAGTAGCGGCCAGAGTCTTTAAACACCAGATACTAGATAGCAGTTTGTATGCAACAAATAGAGCCTAACAAATGTAAGCTAAACTGTTTAAAAGTCGAGAAAAACTAAAGCTTTGTTCACCACTTATGGCCATGTGCCACCATTACTGTGTGTGCGGGTGGAGCATGGCTTAATTGAGCCACACCCTTACATTGCTGCAGCTAGCTAGCATGCAGCAGTGCAGCAAACATGCTGGAGCTTCTTCTCTGTCTAAAAATACGAATCAATCTCTGTCTCAAAACATTCACTAAGTTTTACTAAATTTAGTACATGCTGTAGCTTATTCTCAGTCTCAAAACTTTCGCTATTTTCTCTTAATTTGTTAAAACTGTTACATACATATTGTGGCGAGGGTACGCACTTTAGTGCTCTCGTTCTGTCACTCTGTCCACACAGTTTAATTGATTTGTAAAAAATTATCTTTTTGTTTGAGCAGTCTAGAGCTCTATTTCTTCTTCTAGCAACAGATAAAGTTGCTTTCTTTCATCTAGTAATGCTCTTGTAGCATCCCGTGGCACCAAAAGCTGTGAACTGCTAAACCAGGGGACCTCTCTCCAGGTGAGAGTTCGTGTTTCACTCTACAGGGCCGAGATTTGCTTCAAAGGTAGAAAATCCCATCTAACGAAAAACAAAAAGAACAATTTTGTCCTAACTTCGTTGTTTGTGAGTTACAGTTGCTCAAAGTTTGTGATTTAGCCTCTTCGAGAATTTTTCAGGTGGCACTGCATGGGGAAAGCAGGAGCAACCAAGCTCTCTCAGTCTCTTTTAAATATCTAGAAAAATTTTCTGTGCCAACTCTTTCTTGGAATTTCAGATGCTAAAATAAATTTCAGCTTTTCTTCTTTCTCCTACCCATGTGACATGATTTAGTTAGTTGTTGACGACACCCATAGCTTATTTTAATTATCATTATAACTATGCAGTCCATAATAATAATTTTTTTCAAATTGCTTAAAATATCACAGTACAAGTAATACATATCACTCAAGTGAATTCCAGCAGGCGAGTCCATTGCACCATAGTGCTTCATTGTCCTCAGTAGCAGACATTACAT